CTCTCCCACCTTGGGTAACTACAGAAAGTCAGCCAACAACAGTAAGTACATCTTTTAGGTATAAATCCCTTTATTTATTTGGGTATTTGAAACCAGCTTCAGTATTATAGTAACAGTATGTTCATATACTGTAGCACATATGACTTATATTATTGTGTATGGATTTTATGCATAAATGACAGTAGTTGGTTTCATAGACATATATGTGTATGAATACATATTATGTATATAACTGTATATAATATATATATATATATATATATATATATATATATATATATATATATATATATATTATATATAATTACATAAATGTACATATATGTGCGTTTATACATATATCCCGCTTAGAATGCAATTTAGAGGTGCCGCCCCGAAAAGGTACCTCAGGAATGTACCTCAGGCCGCTATATTTAAACGGAATGCGAGATCTCAAACCGTGCCCAATCGCCTCTACTCTGACATGGGGGGGCGGGGGCCCTGGCCAGGGCCTGGATACATATATGTATGTATATATGTGTGTACATATATTATACATACATATATATAATATATATATATATATATATATATATATATATATATATATATATATATATATATATATATATATATATATATATATATATATATATATATAAATATCCACATACAGATGCGTGCGCGTGCATGCATACTTACATATACATATATATATATATACATATATATATATATTATACACACCTATATATATGTATATATGTATATATATGTATACACACATGTGGGTGCATGTTTGCATTAATATATATAAACATGTATATATATATATATATAATATATATATATATATATATATATATATATATATATATATATATATATATATATATATATATATATATATATACACATACACACACACACACACACACACACACACACACACACACACACACACACACATACATATATATATATATATATATATATATTATATATATATCAATATTTACTTTTAAATTCAAGCTAAAATATGAATAAAATGTAAAAATAAAAGCATTGAACACGGATTCTCATTTGACTGACGAATATAAACAAACGCGTAGCCGCCAACTTCCAGTTGAAATTGCAGATCCCATGAATATTCGAAATGTGGTATTCTAAAGCAATTCACTCTCTCTGGAAATATGAGTAGCAAGAGTTAAGGAGAGGATTGCAGGATCCATAGCGAGTTTCTGCGGTCATTTGTTTTGATGCCGCGATTCCACTGGACAAACCCGATGGTCCTTTTGCAGTGTGAACACCACGGATGGGTGGGTTGGTTCTTACCCACAAAAAATCGTTGGATTCCAGTGAAATTTATGGGTAGTTATTCTTTTGCAGACGTTTAAAAAAATATCTCACTGCTGTTCCAAAGATTTTTATCTAGGTGATGTAACTGCCCTCATTATATGTATATATGGTGGCACTGGAAAGCACTGCTATCTTTGTCTGAAGACGTGTAAAAGTACATCAGGTACTTAATTTTTAATGCTATACAGGATAATATACTGGGATATTTTACTTTTCAGTTTCACTTCCATTTTCTTTTTACAATTATTATATTATTTATTTATTTATTATTATTATTTTTTTTATTTATTTATTTATTTTTTTTTGCATGGATTGGTACCTTTAAGCCTTGTACTTTCCTGAGCAAAATTCATCTTTTCATCCAATATCCCTTGACAACAGACCGACATACCAGTAACTACAAGGGAGAAAGCTGATTTGGGCATAAGATTGCCTGGATCTCTGAAACCACTCCATTACTTAGTTAAACTTCAACCCTTTATCAATGGCAACTTGAGCGTCTTCGGCTACATGGAGGTGGAGATGGAGGTCCTGGAACCGACGTCCAACATCACGCTCCACATGGCCGACATAATCACTAAAAATGACACCATAAAGGTAAGAATTTATGTCAATTGTTACTGGGTAACATTTCAGATATGATGCGAATTTAGTACAGTTCAATTTGATCTAAAACAGTAAATGAAAATCATAGCGTCTACTTTTCAGTTACATACTGCGGTCCAAACGCCAGGCCGAGATCTGTGGATCAAGAAGCACGAGTACGATCATGGTCGTCAGTTTTATATCGCCCACTTGACGAGAGAGCTGCAGAAGGGAAGAAAGTACGTTCTCTCCATGGAGTTCCTTGGTTATCTTAATGACAAGCTGCACGGCTTCTACAGGTCGACTTACATGGATGATGACGGCATCACTAGGTGAATATCTCATTGCTTACCTATTACTTCATGTTTATAAGTAAGTGAAGCTTATTTGTATACTGACACATAAACCCTCTCCAGGAACGTGGCTGCGACCCAGTTCCAGCCCACCGACGCCCGCAAAGCCTTCCCTTGCTTCGACGAGCCCGCACTGAAGGCAACCTTTGAAATTCACCTCGCAAGGGAATCTTGGATGACAACCCTCTCCAACATGCCCCTCGCAGAAACTCTGCCTGTGTGAG